TTTTTTTTGATAATCACCAGAGATGTACACTAGATCACCTTAGAAATATAGATTGATTTTATTACTGGCTTTTATAAAGCGCCAACAAATTCTGCAGCACTGTACAATTGGGGAAAAAGACAAACACAATAAGAACAGACCGATACAACCGGTAGAGGACCCTGCCTGTGAGCTTAGAATCCAATAGATCAAATCATGTACATCAAGTCAATACAAAGCATAATACAGTCGGGTAATAGATGTGGTGTAATGTTGCACAACAAAAAAGTACATTTGATCAACATGGATGCAAGAGAAGAGTACTTCGGGTTAGGATCGGTATGTGTGCAATTAGTATTTTGTGCATGAAACATGTCTTCCACTGTCATTTTATGGCAAACGTATTCAAATTGGAATCACAAATATTAACTGTGAAAATAGCTGGTTTTGGATCAAACTATGTGAGCTAAATATATTTTATTTTTATTTTGGAGGAAGGAACATCCACTTTTATACGGTCAATAGGGGATTTTTATCAATCCAGCTTCTTAGGGCTACCTGCAGTTATTTACTAGAAACCTTATCTTATCACTGATTCCTTGTTCCAGCTCTCTCTCATAATAAGCTTGGTTGTGTTTTGAAAATTGACCCCTCAACTAGTTGAAGGTTTTTTTTTGTTTTTTTTTACGGTGCACAAACACTGAGATGGCCAGGTGTATGTCATAATTCGTTGTAGGATAGTCCTAGTTAAAATATATCCTTGAATATCACTGCAATAAAATGTGGACTGAGTTTCTCAAATGGGATTCCACTAGTTGAGCCATTACCAATTATGTCTTTGACTGCCTGATTGTAGCTTTGATAGAGCCTTCTGAACTCTACTTTTGGCTCTATTCCACTACTGCGCTACAGATGTAGGAAAAACACACATAACCAATTCGCTTCTAGATTTATTTATTTTTTAAAATTTCATGCACTTTAAAGGGTTTGCTGAAATTGTGCCCTGGTTTAGGACCCCTAAAATTTAATATTTATAATGTCCACTAGATGGTAGCCTTGTTTTGAGTGTGTTGCTGCCAAAGTGTTGGGATTTATCTTTTTGTTTTCAAATTGGAATCTACATTCATTTATGTTTCAATTGTAACCTTATTTATAGCATCTGTAATGAGCATTATTTAATTGATCAGTAGTTTAGTATGTTCATAAAAACATATCCATATTAATGAATAACTATTTGAAATCACTCATAAAACTACATTGTATACAGTTGTATATTGGCCATCACCTGGGGAATCCTTCAGAAGTGCCCACATAATCCAGAGGTTTCATTCTATATATGGCCTAAAACATAAGTTAAGGGACTTCCTGTGATGGAAAGCTGTCTTCTGTCTTTTCGTCCAATCAAATGTTTCTCCAATAGGGAATAATTAAATCCAGTGATTCCCTATGATCCGCATTAGAGGATAAATGTCCTCGTGTGAGGACCTCAAGCATGACATAAGAGTCTGACTCTGGTTATAACAGAAGAAGAAACCCTCTAGTGGCTGTCAGGAAGACCATGGTCAAAGTGGAAAGACCATGTATGTGCACAGTTACAGTATGAAACCCTGCACATACTGAGATATATTCTGTTGCTTCTGCAGGTGTAAATCTTTCATTAGCCAGTCCAGAACAAGCGACCCGTGTCAACTGTTAATGTTAATTCGAAGTACAGAGGTTCTGTGTCTTTGAATGTGTGGCAGGATCTTCATCTAGTTTTCATAGAAGCTGGATGCCATTCTATTGGTAAGAGAGATTTGTTGGGAGCTGGGTTTTTAGAACAGTATTAAACCCAACAATATTGATTCATGAAGCCATTGTAAAAATTTAAGCAGCCTCTTTTGAAGATCAACCCCTATTTAAGTGAAAGGCTGGCAAAACTGAACATGATTTGACATTTTGTAATAAACTCCAATTTAGAAACACGGTGTTACAGACCAACCGGCAATCTTCACATGCTCCGTCTATCCTCTTAATAAAAAAAAAAATTAAGTTCACTTTTCTTATAAACCCAACAGTTCAGTCCTGCCCTCAACAGGTAACAATGTAGTCCATAATCTCAACAACCTTGAAGTAGGTTTAATGTAACTCCAAAACTAACACCCTATTAAAGGGACACTGTAGGCTTTAAAACAATTTAGCTTAATGAAGCCGGTTTAGTGTATAGACCATGTCTCTGCAGTCTCACTGCTTATTATCTGCCATTTATCTGCCAAATAATAAAAATAACACCCTCCTAAGACTAAACCAGGCTTTATTAGATTCATGTCCATATGGTGCACCAATATAAAAGATGATGGTTAAGGGGTAAAGAGCCGATACAGGCTCCCTGTAGAAGCCTGCTGATACCTGAACTCTACAGTGCTAAAGTTGCACTGGGGGTAACTAAAGCAAAATAATAAAATGCAATACTTATCAGTAGTGTAGAGGTACTGTCAAGCTTAAAAGGAAATATTGCTCAAATAAAGAAATTGCAGGTGCAATCACGAGGACCGATTGGTGTTTAACCCCCATATTTGTATATAAGAGGTAGTGAAAAACTCACCTAACCGCCTTAGAGCATATACCAGGTTGATGAAACTCCAATTTGGAAGTGAGACTCATGTTTTCAATTGGTTCTAGGTCTCCTACTACAATCATGATATTCAGATGGCATAGGACAGCTGGAATCAAAAGCAATAAAAAAGGTGAATAATACTTCAGATGTCAGACAATAAAACTGACCGCCTACAAAACCGCCCTGACTCTCTTGGCAACTAGTTAAAAAGCAATAGAGGATAGTTGGACAGCTGATATGAAAGCACATATAACAAACCTATAGATAAAAATGACATGCGCTTGTCCATTGCAAAAGTGAGGTAATAAAGTGAAAATAAATTCCGACTCATTTCAGTGCATACATGCACGTTTGTTAGTAGGCGATTTTATTTTTTAAATTTTTTTGTATTTTTTTGTAATTCTTTATTTTTAGATGTGCATAGCAATATCAAGAATAATTTCTCATACACATAATGTCAGCAGCGCAGAGACATATTCATCAGATAAGTGTACCGGAGAAACAGCACATTTTCATTTTTTGCAAATCCTAGAAAGACACCACATCTACAAATACATCTCCAATAATAAGGCAGACCTGCAGGAAGATGTGAGGGTAGGTAAAGAATAAGAATATAGAAAGGACTATGCTATTAGGTAAGCTGAAATGGTTCTAGAGTCCACCCTGAGAAGGAAAACCGTAAGACAATAGGACAAACGAAAAGCGGCCTCATCAGATTATCTTTCTGGTGATTTTCTTTTTTAAATCCATTTATCCCTAATAATCCCTTTTAAGATAGGATAGCCCCACCTTCCCTGTAAAGCCGGACTAGTCCCACTTATGTAACGGTTACAAAAACGTTATCCTAAGCAAGTGTAAAATGCATTGCTCAATCTGTTGTATTAAATATAAACATAAATGGCTGTCTTCCATAAAACGTTTAAATGTAACTCTTGATAAACTGCTTCCATTGCAAAAATGTGACTTTAATTTTCTGTAATATCCCATATACACAGTGCATCCACAACACACGCACCCTGTATCCACTCTACACACACTGCATTCTTGTGGGCAGACTAGAGGCGAGCCCTGATGGCGGGTTTGGAGGCAGGGACTCAGACCTTGAGCTGTTAGGGTTCCCAAAATTTCTGATGACAGCTCTGCTTGTATACATAATGTTCAACCTTTTAAGTTTCTCTCCTAGCAAAGATTAAGATATTAGGTCATGACAATAGACTGCTGTGTTTTTTTTCTTTAACTTTCCTATATTTATATTCAATACAATTTTTTAAAAGCCGGAATGTTATTGCCTCCACAATTTATTTATTTTTTTCTTTATTTTTTTTTGAGATTTGTACGGTCAACCCTGCTAAATTCTATGCTTTAAGACTTCTTTTTAGTGGTAAATGGGAGGTTTCAGCGGTAACACGTCATTGCATCAGGTGCTTCATAGTGTTCTAAATATTTCATGTACTTCAAAGAAGAAGTAAAGAAGTAAAAAAAAAAAAAAAAAATAATAATTTAAAACTATAGATCACCTGTTCATAGATAGCTTGGGTATTGACATAAAGTGGCAGAAACATTGAAAGCATTCTATTTACCAGAGGTTAGTGAACAAGTAAAAAGTACAAAATAAAATGGTTTAGGCGCTCACTATAACTATAATAAGTGGCAGTAGTAAATCAATCAAGGATTCCTGAAACTTCTGTGAAACCCAAAATGTATACCAAACCGAAAGTGATCACATCCCAAACAAATATGTATGCTAAGTGTTTTAGGGCAACCTTATGGTGTATTACATAAATTTGCACAAATATACCAACTTTTAATCATGTAAATAGCATATATTTGTGCAAATTTCTTTATGTAATACATTATAAGGTTGCCTGGAAACACTTGGCACACATCCTTGTTGGTGTGGTTTATCACATTCTGTAAATAAAATGGTGGCACATACACCGTGTAAGCCAGCGGAATGTCTCCATGTTATTTTATCTTTTTGTTGGTTTTCTGTTTTTTCCTCTCTCCCCCTCTTCCTCTCATTTACCAAGCTAATTATGCAATTTTCACTTCTTCATAGGGGCGATCTATCACCTCTTCATCTCAGCTGGAGAAGAAGAAAGGCGTAGCAAATATAATTTTGGACGTTTACAAGCTGAACCCTAAAGATTTTATTGGCTGTTTAAATATAAAGGCTACTTTTTATGAAAAGTACTCTGTGGCCTTTGATATCCAGTGCTTGGGAGCAAAAAAATTCCTTCGGTGAGTCACACAATACACTGCCGTCTATGTGAAAAATCTAATTCTAATTCTCAAGCCAATCTCTAGAAATCAGCTGTTCAGAAACTCTCTCTCCATCCTTGGAACCCACCTACTGTTCAGATGACTTATTCAGTCTTTCACTGTGAAAGGGTCTCACAAATACGTAAGAGATTTCGATTTTCTTGGCGCCTATGCTGACTGTTGCTTTTGTATGGCTAATTGCAGGTGTTATTGGGGAGTGGAAATTCGTCCTGGACGGTGTTCCTTCCCTTTCCATGCCATTTGAAAGTGGTTGTTTAATGTAATAGCCACATGGCTGATATCTGATCATGTATTTATAGGATGGAGGGATCAGAATTAAGTTTCTTTTCCTTTTTTTCATTGAGAAGCCTAGGGACAGTTACAAAAAGATCAGCAATAATTGTATATAAAAGTTAAAAATCTTCTAGTCATATGTCGGTGCTTAATTTTCAGATCATGTAATCTAATATTGTATTTTTGTCCACAGTTAGGCCAATAAGATACAAAAGTGGTGTTTTTTTTGTTTGTTTTTTTTCCCTTCTTCTTTACTCCCAAGCCATTCATGCTATGTCACTGGCATAACTGTAAAGATTGCAAATGTGGAGTCACATTACAAGAGGAGGTTTGCAGTCACGAGTAACTCTTATACCTGGTTTGAGGAGTAGGACTTGTAATTTTGAGTGAGACCGTAAATGTGTCCATATTTTTATGCAGATTGGAAAATGTTAATCCCGTTTTGTAGTGATATCCTGTGTCCCTGGTTAGGCAGTTATAGCAAAAACCTAAACCCACTGCTGATCCATATAGGCTATATTTGCATTTATTTCAGAATCTTAAATGGACTGTAACTTAATATATTTATGTATTCTAGTGCAAAAACAAACTTAAAAAAAAAAAAAAAAAAATTCAGAAATATCCAGATTTAAAGCCACTGTATTTCCTGAAAATCTGCAGGATTTCCATGGCGCTCTACTAAACAAGGAAGCGACTATAATTTCTACAGGACTGACCAGGCTTCCCCATAAGCAGTGCTTTATGATCACAGAAAGGGATTTTAAGAGTTAACTACAATTCCCAGCTATCATTCAGTATTTTACGTCCAAAAAAGAAACCAATGCAGGATGGAAGAGGGGTGGAAATAGGAGCTTTTTACACTGCATTTTTTTTTTTTTTTTAATCCAAGTGTCTACCACCTCAGGTTGGCTCGTTAATTTTATTTATTTATTTTAATTAAGCATCCAAAAATACTTTGGTTAGGAACTTGTCTTGACAGATCTGTTTGTATAACATGAGTCAAGCCAGATGGTTAGTAAACTGCAAATTAAGTGTTTCTTCTTATAAAATATGCAGGTTTTTTTTTTTTTTTTTTAAATAGTATTAACGTATTTCCACTACCTCGATATCTAGCTATCTTGTTTTCTGTGGCTGTTACACAGACTTGTTTCCCAACAATGTAATGAACCCCTAAACTTTGGCTTTATAGTATCTGGCCGCATGGATGACGTTTAGGGCTCGTATGGTATTGTCTCTTGCTTCCCGGCCAGGGATGAACCCTACCTGATCGGGATGGACTAAGTCCGGCAGCACTCTTCTTATCCGTGTCGCTAGGACTTTCGTGAAGAGTTTCAGGTCCACGTTCAGGAGTGAAATTGGCCGGTAGCTTGCACAGTTGGTTGGATCCCTGCTTTCTTTAGGGATGACTGCTATCGTTGCCGATAGGGCATCTCTCGGGAGTGTCCCCCCGTCTAGTAGGGAGTTGAGTCCTGTGAGTAATTTAGGCAGGAGCACATCACCAAATTCTTTGATGTATCGGACCGGTAACCCATCCGGGCCCGGTGCCTTATTGGGCTTGGATCCCTTCAACGCAGCTTGAAGTTCGTCTAGTGTAATTGGAGCTTCTAGTTCTTCCGCCACATCTTGGCTTAGGGTTCTCGTGACATGTTGTTGCAAGTAGTTCCCAATTCGTATGTCCCTGTGGGGGCAGTCGTCTGTGTTGCCGTCTGGCGATAGGTTATATAAGTCGCTGTAGAAACCGTGAAATGCATCGGTTATCTTGTCAGGGAGTTGCGTGGCTACTTGTGCCCTGTCTTTAATTTTTGTGATGTGGCACAGTCGGCGTTGTCTTTGGAGCGTCCGGGCCAGAAGGCGGCCACATTTGCCCGAGTATTCATAAAAAAACCTATGTGATTTACGTATAGTGTATTGCAATTTGTGGTGCAGGATGTCTCTCTCAGTGCTTGTCTGGCTTCCAGTAGAGCTTTGTAGTCGTTGTCCGATTGGGTGGACTTCTGAGTGTTTTCCAGCACCGAGATCTGCGCGGTCAGGTCAGTCACACGTTGTCACTGTATCTTCTGCCGATGGGTACAAATCTTAATCAGCTGCCCTCGGATAACGCATTTGTGTGTCTCCCATATCGTCAGGGCTGGTATCTCCGGGGATTCGTTCTCCTCAAAGAATGTGGTAAGCGTAGATCGGAGTTCCATCGTTACTGGTGCGTCGTTGAGTATCGACTCATTCATCCGCCATTGCCGTTCTCTTGGGCGATATAGGGGGGATCTAAGTGTTACTGATACCGGTGAGTGGTCAGACCATCCCATGGGCCGTATCTCTGCTGAGAGTAACATAGGTAGGAATTCTTGGGCCACAAATATATAATCTAGCCTGCTATAAGACTTGTGTAACGTGGAGTAGTAAGTGAAGTCTTTATCCTCTGGGTGAAGCACCCTCCAGCCATCCATGAGGCCGGAGCCTCGGAGCACCTCTCGTATGACTCGTAGGCCCCGAGACGGGAAGGAGCTAGTCCCCCTAGAGGTGTCAGTCCTCGGTTCTAGGGCAACATTCAGGTCGCCTGCCGCTACGAGGAAGCCCTCCTGGAATGTCTCAGGTTTATTCAGCGTCGTTCTAATGAATCTAGATTGCTGGGTGTTGGGCGCATAGATGCTAGCGAAAGTGTAAGAGCAGCCGGCTATAGTGCCTTTTACAAACAGATAGCGTCCCATAGTAGCCGCGCACTCAAACGGTATCGTGCTTGCGAACAGGATCGCCACTCCAGCTTTTTTGGCCGTCTGATTTGCAAAAAAACCCCAGCGGGTATCGTGCGTCTTTCAGCTGTGGGCTAGCATCGCCTCGAAAGTGGGTCTCCTGCAGGAGTGCAACAGATACCCGCTCGGCCCATAGGGAGCGCAACAGATGGGATCTTCCCTCTGGCACATTCAGTCCTTGGACATTATTAGACCAGACATGGAGGGGCGCAGGAGTGAACCCCGTCCCCATGGCTCGTGAGACGAGAGGTGGGAAAGGGGGGGGGGAGAGGGGAGAGAGGGCAAGGGTAGGAAGAAAAGAATGTGTCAAACCCGGTGCGGGCTCGCAGTGACTCGGCATCTGTGGTGGCGGTGACTTTTGGGTCCACGGAGAGTGGGTGTACAACACCTCCCCACCAGTTTTAGGAGGGTGCCCGTCTAGAGGACGCAGGTCCCTTGGAGCACTAGCGCAGGACTCAACCTTCGCCTATGATTTGTGTTGGGGAGTATTCCCCTGGTGTATTTACAGTGATTTAGTAGAGGTGGGTTAACTATGGTAGGAAGTATGGATCCCTGTCTACAGGGATGTGTTAGTTAATAGACTTGTAGTGTATACGAACCGTGTCCCCTCCCCCCCTGGCCGAGGCATTCAGGTGTTGCGGGAGGCATAAGGTTACCGGTGGATCTCATATGGTCAGTTTGGCTAACATCAGCCGTACGCCTGGTCATCTAGTCTCAGGTCCCCGGGGATGCAGCTGCGCGTCAGGGCGTGGGTGAGGGGAGCTCGTCGTGTCCCTTGTCATGTCCCAGGTGGGTCTAGTCATCTGTATCTACTTCATTCTCTCACAGAAGCTGGTATGGTTAGTCCTGAGAGTCCGGCAGGCCTGTTGTAGGAATAACGCTGTCAGACACCCGCATGGGGTGGTGGTTTAGGGCCCTGCTTAGTCTCCCTCCCCAGTCCCGTCTGAGAGTCTGTTTGTTAACCTGTGCCCATAATACGTAGCCCTGTCCCTCCCCTCCCTATAGAGTGAGGGAAGGCCTCCGTGCGTGTGATCTCAGGCCCCGTGGGAGGGTTATAAACCTAGCTTCGGCTCTCTCAAAAAAAACAAAACACCCCACACATCAACAATAGAAGACATCGTTCCCAGTCCAAGTTCACCCCCTCCCCCAGCTTCACATTTCCTCCGTCCACCTCTAGTTGTGAGGGTGCGAGATTCGCAGATCCAGTTTGGGCGGTGAAGTCAGTAGAAATGTCCAGTGTCTCGGGAGCTTATGGAATGCTTCCCCCTTACGAGTTGGAAGCTCTATGTGATCCCGTGTAACCTGCTCTTACGCCACCTTGTAGGGTTTCTGGGTTTGGGGGGACTCCGTGGCGAGCCACACTTCTTTACCCCTGCCCTTCAAAGTGGGCTTCCCTCCATGAGCCCCCCGCCCAAGTGCCCGTGCGTGACCCCACAGGTCTCTTCGGCTTATGCGTGCCCCAGTATGGCAGTCGGCTGCGGCCCATATCGTGGGTCAAGGCTCCCCCAGAGGAGTCCACAAATTTTTGGAGGTGATCCCTTCTTCCCCAGCAGGCCCCGCGTCACGGCCAAAGTTAGGGTTGGCCCCTATCCCCCCCCTCCCCATGTGTCTTGGTTATTTCCCCTCTATCCCCGTGGGGGGGTGTGTGTGTGTGTGTGTGTGTGTGTGTGTGGGCTCCCAAGTCCCCAAGAGTGCGTATAGAACTCACCGGGCCCCCACTGACCTGTTTAGGCTCTGGCTAGACTACTCCTCTGGCCCCTCCGAGCCCCTTCTCCGGCGCGACGGGTCGCCACGAGTAGGTGCAGCTTCAGGTGGTCTTATAGGAGCTAGCGGGTCTCTCCTTGAGGTGATTGCTTCGTTGAGGATCCAGTTTCGGATTCTGATCTGAGGCAGGCCAAGTGTTCTCTGAAATCTCGGTATGTCCTCCGGCCAGCGGGCCATCAGCCAGGTGTTACCGTGCCTCGCCTGTAGGCTAAAGGGGAAGCCCCAGCGGTACGGGATCCTCTTGTCTCGAAGGGCACCGGGCGCAGGGCTCTTCTGGCGTCTAGCGTTAGGCTGGATAGGTCTTGGTACAGGGAGATATCCGTCTCACGGTACCTCATGTTTGGGAGCTCCCTTGCGACTGCCATTATTTTATCTCGCAGTCCACATGTGGATATGCAGAAGATCACATCCCTGGGGCTGCCATCTAGTCTCGCCGGACCCAGGGCTCTATGCGCTCGGTCAAGGGGCTTGTACCCTAGGAGCTGCCTGAATAGGTTGATTAGCGTGGCGTGAAGCGGTTCTGTACCTGACTCTGGTAGGCCGCGGACTCTTATGTTGTTGTGCCTGCTCTTATTCTCCAGATCTTCCACTTGTCTGCGCATCGTGAGGAGCATGTTACCCTGTCTGGTACCTCCAGCCACCTCCGTCGCCCTGTGCTGCTCCTCACATCCGCGAGCTGTCGACTCCATTTCGTCCACTTGTTGCTCCAGCACTGTCAGATCAGAGCGGAGGCCTGCAAGCTCTTCACGCAGTGCCGTCCGGAGTTCTTGTACCAGGGAGCCCGTGTCTGCCTTGGACAGCATGTTGGTGGAAATTTGGGTAAGTTCAGCCCGAATCCGGGCTAAGTCACTTGCCTGGGTATCCTCCGCCAGGGATTCCCCTGCACTCTCCGAGCCCGGAGAGGCGGGCGCCATCTTGGAAGCATGCTGCTGTCCCCTGAAATCCGACGGCGTGGCTATAAAATCATCCATCGGTCCCGTGCACCGGCGCAGGGAGCTAACACCCGCCGACTCTGGTGCTAGGTGCTTTTTAGTCCGGACCATTATCTGCCGTTTTGTTGCTATTTTTTTTCGCTAATTTTTCGGCGAAGCTCGTTCACTGTGCGTCCTGCACCATGCTCGTCCAGGCCACGCCCCATTATTGCATTATTGTGCTTCCAGAATGCAGTGGCTATATTCTGGGGTTACTATTGCAAGATATGACTGTCCAATATAAGTTTCATGCTACTTAAAGTTAAAGAATGGATTACTTGCCTCCTTCCAGCAGCCAGGACTCCTGCTGCAGCCGCCAGCTTCGAAGGCATAGTCTATCCTCTTCCTCAGCCATTGCTTCCCACAGAAGCTAGCCCCAACACCACACTCCTTCAGTCAAATGCTGATTTCCAGACAGGTTTACTTGGTTTGGAGGAAGAAACGCTTCTCGTTGCTGTAAGGAAGATGGCCACTAGAAGTGGATTCAACCCTGCTAAGTAGCAGTTTCTTAAAAATAAAAAAATAACTGCAATGGTTTACATTACAGGATTAAAATTACTGCTCTAGTGGCACTTTAATGTGGTTACTACTTGGGCAACAGCAAGGAAATGGCTCAATGTTTTTCATCCAATCCATACTGTCCCATAGAACCATACCAAAGTTTTAGGGGGATGGGGGGGAAGGCGGAGGCAACATAATGTGCACACTGTCTTTAAATTGTATATTTGGGGTGTTTTGATTTTTGCGTTGGTTGTTTGGTGTGTTTTTTTTTTTGTGTGTGTGTGTGTGTGTGTGTGTGTGTGTGTGTGTGTGTTTTGGTTTTGTCTTTTGTTTAAAGTAATTGTATTCAGTGGGGAGAATATAATAAAAATATAGGATTTTTTTTAAAATTTATTGGGAAAATGTAAAAGGTCATTTTATACTCCACAACCATTTTGCTTTGCTGCAACATGTTTGGTGCTTGGTTACTTGCATCTATTTTAGTAGTGAGACTAACTTATAACAGGAGTGACATTTGGCAAAGCATAATGGTCGATGTACTCCACAACCTGTAGACTCTACATTGTAGAGTGACGAAGACTGCCTACCCCTGCCATAGACCTAATGAGGCACTCCTAAGTGGAGCCTCTCTAACTGGTGTGGGCGGGCCTTACAGACAGACCCATTGAACAGTGAATTTTGTGGCCCTTTCAAAGTAGGTTTTTTGCGTTATCTATATAATTGCCGAACATCCTAATGTTCTGGTGTCCGCAGGCGTAAATCCCTGTCAACGCCAAGAAGACACATGTATCAATACCTCAGTCAGCTGGAGCCATGTTTAGTGGTCCCAGACAGACATATGAGCTGTATGAAGCACTTAAAATGCTACAATGCTGCCTTTATCATATAAACATTACATTACCAAATATGTTTAAATAATAGTGCTGTGATTTCATAGCCGTTTTGGTTAAATTGGGTTTTTGTGAGATTTTACTCTAATTTGGTTGGAGTAACCTACAACTTATTTTTAAATTCTCGTGGTGGTGGTTATACTAGAATAAGTGTGGTTGGTGTTTATATCATTATTTTTGGTTTAGTGCAGACAAATTGTGTTTTAAAAAAAAAAAAATCACTGTCTGGGACATGGCTTTCATCTGGAACCTTAAAATCTTCACAAGCACCCATTTAATGTTATTTATATTACACAAGTCATTAAAGGAACACTGCAAGACCCATACCCACTAAAGGCTGCTGTAGTGGTTTTGATGCCAGGAGTGCCCTGGCTCGCACCCATAGGATGTAGTCAAATTTTAAGAATGGTTTGCCAGTTTACCTGGTCCTGCCAACGCCTCCCCTGATGCACAAAGCTACTGCCACTGAACTAAGCTTACTCAACAAACGCCAATGAGCACTGCATGGCTTAACTCTGTGTAGCTACTAGCTAGCTCCCTGCAGCAGGGGAATCAGTGGGACGCACCTGGCAAAACCCAGGTTAATTATCACACTGTTCTTAAGCCGGGTGACTTGGAGTGTTCCAGTACTTGACATTATAGGCACATGTCTGCTAACCGCATGTAACCAGGACATACTAAATATAATTTAGAACACCGAGCAGTTAGTATTTCTTTCTGTGCACCAACGCTTCTGTATTACTGTATTGTACAATGCATTGTATGTTTTACTAAACAAAACCACCCAACGTTTCAAGTTTAGAGAGCAACAATACGTCTGGGAATGTGGCCAGTAATTATCTATTCTAAAACATTCTAGGAATGTAGCACTCTGAGCACCAGAACCCCTTCAGCCAACTGTAGTGGTGATGGTGCAGGGTGGCAACATAACGTTTTTAACAAACCATTTTCAAGCAATTTGACAAATAATGGAGGATTCTCTTACATCCAAAGACCATCCCATAAGCTTGGAATGCTGTATGTGAAAGTATCTCCTTTTATGTGTCCAAAATAACAGTTCTGGTAAGATGGCTTTATCCACGCCAAATCAGCATTTACACTTTTGGCAATGTCAAATTGATGCAGGCTTCTGAACTTCTTAAAAAATGGATACTATATTTAAAAAGGGCTATGGGGGTGTTTGAGGGCATATGGGAACTATGTCAACCGTTAATTTTCAATGTCAAAGTCTAACTTGACCAACTTACCTGCTGATCTTTTCTCCCTAGTGTTCTTTTCTTTGCTGCAGCTATAATGAGTTTGCCTTCCCAGTACTCCTGTTATATAGTGATTATGGGTTCTTTATGATGTCACTCACTGACTGGGATATGTTTGTGATGTCATTAGCTGAGCTGTAAATGGAAAGTCTACTTGGTTCAGAACTATGTAATTAATACATAGAGGTGAAAGGTGTGTGTCTATTCATTATAAAATTAGGTGCTGTGTATCTTTAAATCTACATATAAGATCGAGTCTTATCCTGTGATAATGTAAAGGGTTCACAGGGCCCTGCTCCAAAATGCCTGTCTGATGCAGGTAACCATGCAAATGTACGGTCTAAGTGCATTATATGACCACTGTGGTATCGCCTATAATGGCACTTGTGCTCGACTCTGCAAATGAAAAACCGTAAGTGAATATTCTACCCTCAAACACTTAAGCTCCATGTGTCACACAGAATGTCAGGCGGAGGAAAACTACATAAGACAAAGTTTGTCTTATGTTAAAAAAAATAAAAAAAATAAAACTAGATCCGAAATAAAGAACAGATTCTGAGCGAAACAATAGCAGAAAGGCAAGTTCCTTTTAGTATATGACCGGATCCTTCAGCCATATACATGCAACTTGAGCCAGACCGGGTTAGAGAAAACCACAGAGACTGACTATTTTTCAGTTTCTGTGCAGGGAGTGAAGGAGGGAAGACCATAATTTTTTTTTCAAACACGGTCTAGCCCATGGGTGTCCAACCTTTTGGCTTCCCTGGGCCACATTGAGTGTATAAAAATTTTCTCGGGCCCCATATAAAATAAAGTGCCTCCTTGCACACTGATGTGATGCACACACACTAATGTAACACACTCAAATCTACACAAAGATCATAATTTACAATAAATATTTTATCCACCCCCCTGCTACGCTGCCTTTTTGGTGGATTTCCTGGGGGTCCAATGGTGTCTGGCTTAGTCTGATGGGAGTTTCTTCATACGCCAGGAGGAAGTGACTTGTAATCACTTCATCCCGGCACTGCGGCATCATACAAAGCAGGATAGTACCACAGCTGGTGGGCCGTATTGCCTGCGGTTCGCGGCCACGGGTTGGACATGCCTGGTCTAGCCCAAGACTTATGTATATGGCTGGAGTGGAGGATCCTGTCCTAAACTAAAAGTAGAGTTAAATTTTCTCTATTAATTGATTTCCTTTTAAATGTTAATTAAAATGAATATCCAACAAAACAATAAAAAAAATATATAAATTTAAAGGGACTTTCCATTGCCCAAATCAAAATTCATTGTTTAGTAGATATACTCCTAATTATGCAATTTTTTTTTTTCATTGGGGTTATATCTAAAAACCGCTTGCCAAATCTGCAATTCTCGTCTGCTGCTGCCTCTAGAGTTTATCTCCACTGAGCTAAACAGCCAGGAGGTGTATATCCAGGTAAATTCATGTCAGGTGTCTGTTTCTAGTGAAATCTGCACAATTTATCACACACCGCTTTTCTGCAAGCTAAAGTGCTTTACGGGTCTGGAGTGTCCCTTTAAGCAAACTTTTCTCAAGTGGCCAACAAAATTAAGCATTAACATAGGCGATCTTACCATCTTAATTTAATGGGTGCCTGGTGATAGGCTGAGCACAAACTAGGCTAGGGAGTGAATTTAAAAACCACGAATTTGCTGAACGCTTGGCCTATCAGCAGCTTTTGCAAAGTTAATTTTTCCTTATGCTTAAATGCATAGAGGAAGGAAGCAGAGTTGGCTGCAATGCGCTAAGCTCAGCTGTGCCCGGCCAACTCATTGGCTAATCACTCTTACCCATTGAGCTAAGCCCAGCATGACAGGCTTAGTTCAATGCAGGAACTTATGGCAGCAAAAGAGGAGGGGCTTAGTGGACCCGAGGAAAGTCATCAAACCAATTATCAGTTTGACTACGTACTCTGTCAGTGCATTAGCGGGCTGTCTTTTTTATGGTTCTTGGAGTGTTCCTTTGAATCTAATCACCACTAGATATCTGCAGTCTATTTAATTTGGGTACATATTTTTATTTTTTTCTTCCATTTCTTGACCTATTTTCTTCTTTTCCAGGAAATTTTGTCAGCTTCTATCCCATCTTGCACAGATTACTGGACATCTTCTTCTGTACAGCAGCTCCGTTATGATGCAATGGTCCGAATGTCCTGACGAGGAAACTCCACATAAAAGGGAGAGAACTGGCATCTAATTGTGGATTCCAAAATCAGTGGACTAATTCATTAAAACTAGCAGCAGTGATATACTAAATGAGCTGATCTTTTGTCATGTACTAGAGAGCAGGATGTTTTGCAAAATATAGAAAAATCGAAAAACCAATCCCTCTCATGGATTTTGTTCTCACTTTTGTCACCTAATGTGCTTTTTATCTTTACCATTCTGTGGAATCAAGCGGCCTTTATTTGTGGTAGTTCTTGTTATTGGCACACTTAGATATTGTCTTATGTTTGAAAAGAGACTGCTTTAAAAACGGTGACCATTGTCCAAGTACACAGGGAAACGTGTCTGTTAAATGTTGTACAAGATTCATTTTTATATTGTATTATGTTTTGGAGGTTGTTTTTGGTTTGTTTTTTACTAGCTGGTTTACATTTTAATTAAAGTTTACATGGTATTACCACCTTTCCCCTTGGTGTGGCTTCACTTGTTTTGCACAGTGCATTTTGTAATTTATCCATTTGCATCAAACTGCATAATGTTGGTAAATAAAATGCCAGGCCTTATTTATTCTGTTAGAAGTGGGATATGATGATCTGAGCCTTACACACACACACACACTCTCCTCCATTGAAAAGGGCACAGTAAAATACGTTCCTCATGAAATCTTGGTGTGCTACATAATATCAGTAAATTATTTTTTTTTTATTTTTTTTTATTTTTTTTTTAAAGGGTGTCCCCTCCCTACAAAATTAGATGCTAACACAGAGTACATCAATGCGTTGTGATGTAAATCTTTTGCTTCCTTTCTAATTGGATGGCACAAGGTGACCGAGCCATAGAAATACTTAAAATACAATCATTAACACAGACTAATACAGTAACCGTAAACCAGAATGTACACATCTATAAAAACTCTGAAACAAATCTCATTCTTCAGAACCAGGAGGAAATTTGTTTGACCCAAAACAAATTTGGAAAATTTGTCCTATAAAGAACAACTTGAAAGAATAAATACAATATTACATAGATAGCGGTATCTACTGAAATAATGACAGACCGGAGATTTGGGTAACAAAGGGGGAAAGAATAGTTATCCTGTGTCCACATTTTATAGCAAAATTTCTTTAAAGAAAGAGCCATATCAATAGAGATTAAAATTAGTTAACATGAATGCTTGGACATTAACCCCTTAAGGACTGAGGCAGTTGTACAAGTTCTGATCAAAACCTTAAATTTGCGCTACATATTTGTTCAACCATATTTCACTTCTTTCATATTGTATCCACACTTGTATACAATTTTGTTCTGGAGAAACTGGGCTTTCATGTATATATATAATTAAAAAATATATATTTTATTCATATTAAATGTTTAAGTTCTGCATGGCATTTTAACTGTGAATGTCAATACTGTTAGCTGCCCTGCAATAAAGTACACATTTGTATTCAGCGATGTTGCACAAGTAAAACACTACCCTCCCCATGTACAGGTTTTACTGTGTGTTGGAAAGTCACAGGGTCAAATATAGCACGTTTACATTTTTCAGTTTATACAAATTGAAATTTGAAAAACTAATATTTGTGTTCAGGGAAGTCTCCAGAGTATAGCAGTGCCCTCCATAAACAAGTTTTATGGTGTTTTCAAAAGTTACAGGGTCAAATATAAGGCTTGCATTAGTTTTTTCACATTAAAATTTGCCAGGTAGGTTACATTACCTTTGAGACCGTATGGTAGCCCAGGAATGAAAATTACCCCCATGATGGCATACCATTTGCAAAAGTAGACATCCCAAGGTATAACAAATGGGGTATGTCCAGTCTTTTCTAGTAGCCACTTAGTCACAAACACTAGCCAAAGTTAGTGTTAATATTTGTGTGTGAAAAATGCAAAAAACTAAATTGAACGCTAATTTTGGCCAGTGTTTGTGACTAAGTGGCTACTAAAAAAAAAAAAAGACTGGACATATACCCCATTTGCAATACTTTAGGTTGTCTACTTTTGCAAATGGTATGCCTGTGAAGGAATACCCTCATCACTTGGTTCAGTAACTTTTTTTTGTTTATTTTCTGTTCGTTTGCTTGTTTGAACCCACATAGTTCGGTTCCCGAACGAGGACCACACCAGCACCTCATTAGAACATGGAACACTAAGTATCCAGTGAGAAACCACCATGGAAACTATTACTAAAAGGCCATCCTGTCTCCTGAATGCAGGCAGCGTACCTAGCCGTCGAGTGCCTGTAACTTATTTCGGCTAGGCACTCCTGCGAACAACGGTGAATATGGAACTGCCCGTTCAAATTCCCAACCACCTATACGAACAGTGTAAGGGAGATATAAACTACCGAATGGGGGGAGCATTTGACACTTAAAAGCATTTGGACATTGTATATGTCTGAATAGGTAGGACAATATAAAGTAGTTGGTCTCCCTGATACAAGTGATACTCGAAAAATTTGAATATCGTGCAAAAGTTCATTTATTTCAGTAATGCAACGTAAAAGGGGAAACTAATATATGAGAGAGACGCATTACATGCAAAGCAAGATAGTTCAAGCTGTGATTTGTCATAAGTGCGATGATTATGGCTTACAGCTCATGAAAACCCAAAATCCACAATCTCTGTAAATAAGAGTATTACATGCAATCAATAAAACGAGTGTACATAGAACAATATCAGACCTCTGAAAAGTATAAGCATGCATATGGACTCAGTACTTGGTTTGGGCCCCTTTTGCAGCAATTACTGCCTCAATGCGGTGTGGCATGGAAGCTATCAGCCTGTGACACTGCTGATGTGTTATGGAAGACCAGGATGCTTCAATAGCGGCCTTCAGCTCTTCTGCAGGTCATGTGACTGATGTCATCAGGATGTTAAAGGCAAATATACTATCTAGAAATCTCTCAGGAATATGATTTAAACAAATATAAATGCATACAAGATTAAAATTACAAAAATGAATAGGAATGCATATAAATGGAAGATATAAGGATTAAAATACTGAGAGACACAAATATGTATTTAAAACTTAAAAAGAACCATAAAAATTGTATCTAAATCAAAACATAAAAGAGATCACAAAAAGTTATGCAAGTCAAAATCCACATTTAGGCCATGGGGGCGAAGGGGGGGTGGGGGGGGGCTAGGGTCTGCAAATTAAAAACCCACTCCATTTTCAACTTGCCTAAAATATTTTTCATATTTCAACCTCTCCATGGTATCTTACATTTTTTTTATTCCTATACAATTAAAAAGTTTAGGATCTTTGTTATGATTAATAAAGTGCTTTGATACCGAGTGGTTTAGATATCCTTTTTTAATATTTCATTTAATCTCGTTTTTAGGCATCTTGTAGTCATACCTACATATTGGAGGCCACATGGGCACTCCAGTAGGTAAATTGCATTTTTGGTATTGCACCCAATAAAATCTTTGATATTATAACTATTATTAGTTCTGTTTGATTTAAAATGGGTGACTTTGGACTGAGTAGAGGAATAGGGGCTCTTGCCTACAATACACTTTTTACATTTATAAAATCCTTTCACTCCCTCTAAAAATGTGCAGTTAGTAATTGGTTTATTTTCTTTAGTGTAATTTTTAGTTAAGATAGTTCTAAAATTGGGTGCACCTCTAAAAACGATATTTGGTTTTTAAGGTAATATTTCTTTTAAGAGATCGTCTTGCATTAAAGGACCACTCTAGGCACCCAGACCACTTCAGCTTAATGAAGTGGTCTGGGTGCCAGGTCCAGCTAGGGTTAACCCATTTTTTTTTATAAACATAGCAGTTTCAGAGAAACTGTTATGTTTATGAATGGGTTAAGCCTTCCCCCTAATCCTCTAGTGGCTGTCTCATTGACAGCCACTAGAGGCGCTTGCGTGCTTCTCACTGTGATTTTCACAGTGAGAGCACGCAAGCGTCCATAGGAAAGCATTGTAAATGCTTTCCTATGCGACGGGCTGAATGCGCGCGCAGCTCTTGCCGCGCGTGCGCATTCAGCCCAGGAGGAGGAACGGAGGAGGAGAGCTCCCCACCCAGCGCTGGAAAAAGGTACGTTTTTAACCCTTTTCCCCTTTCCAGAGCCGGGCGGGAGGGGGTCCCTGAGGGTGGGGGCACCCTGAGGGCACTATAATGCCAGGAAAACGAGTATGTTTTCCGGGCACTATAGTGGTCCTTTAAAAGGTGCTAATGTTTTTTACTATTTTTTTTTATAAAACCATTTTTTTTTTGTAGTTAAAAATAATGGGGAGAGAAGGGGAAGCTGAAGTTTTTTTCTCTTTATAGGTAAAAAGATTGTCTCTGTTGGTTTCTAATACTTATGGTATTGTTTAATTTAGTAGGAGAGTAATTTTTTTCAATAATTTTTTTTGTTTGTTTTTTTAATAGAGCTTGGTCATTAAAATCTATGTGTACGTAGGAAACTGACTTATGGGGGCATTTTCAAGCCACAGCTTGTTTGGTGAATGGCTGTGTTCGTGCATACTTTTAAAAAAAATGTTTTAGTTTGGATGGTCCCATTTTTTTTTATAAAAAAAAAAAATATGTAAATCTAAAAAAATGAATAGACTCCCTGCTATGCTCACAAGATAAAATAATACCTCTGTTATTGGTGTTTAAAATGTGTAATAAAAGAGTTGAGGGAATCCTCAGAACCCCTCCATATGAAAAACAAATCATCAATATATCTAAAATAGGAGACCAGGTTTGCCTCCAAGGCATGCCCACCCCAAATGGTGCTGGATTCCCAGTCTGCCATAAAGAGGTTGGCATAGCTGGGGGCAAACCTGGTCCCCATAGCAGTATCAGACCATGATATATTGCCAATCGCAGAACCTGTAATCCTGGGCATGCCTGTCGCGTTAGTTAGGAATAAGTCTATCCTGGAGTATGTGCCATGAGGTGTTGAGTAGAAGGAGTAGTCCCTGTCTCCTGGGTGGTGCGCTCGCCATACATCTGTTAAGCCCACGTCTAGTATAAATTTTTTGAGCAGTCGGTCTTGTCCCCCCCTGCCATGGGATCTCGGTGTTCCGTCTTTAGTGCTCCTGTCCGCTGCCGGGCATGGGGTGGCGTTGAAGTCTCCTCCCATATAGACCATGCCATGTGGAAGTAAGGAGATTTTCTCTCGGAGGGTGGTCCAGAACGAGGGGTCTGGTTGGTTAGGGGCATACACGTTGACCAGGTGTATGGTATGTGAGTACAAGATGCCTGATACTATAATGTATCGGCCGTCTGGGTCTGTTTCATGGGTCGTCTTGCGAAACGGGCAGCTGTTTCTGATCAGAATAGCTACTCCGTTGCGTTTGCATTGTGATCTTGCTTCACATGATCCTCGAAAGATGTGGTCTTTTAGGTTTACATTGGCTTGTTTCGAGAGGTGGGTTTCCTGGATGTAGGCAATGTCCGTCTTCAGTCTCTTTAGTTCCTTAAACATAAGGCGGCGCTTCTTAGGAGCATTAATTCCT